GTAGTTGTTCTGGTCAGGTCCTTTAGTCACAGTCGTGAAAAAGCTGACTAAAAAGGGCTGTATAAAAAGTAAACCATAAAATCATACATGCACAATTTTGTACTAAGTAAAGGCTGTACTTGTATGGAATTAACCACACTCAGAATACTTAAACACAAACAGTAGAAATTTGAGGAGATAGGCTATGACTGTTATTTTTAAAAATATATAAATAAAATTAAAAAAAAAAAAGACTGTCCCACTAAATTCCACAGCCTCATTTTTCACACCAAAACCTCTCTAAGTCCTGCAGTTCTCAACATTAGGCAATCCCCCTCCCAGGAGGCACACAGAAACTTGTGGGACGGTATTGGGGAGTCATGTCTGAGCACCTTTCTGACATTTAGTGGACAAGGGCCAAGGATGCAACTACCCTGTGACACAGGACAGCTCCTCATGGGGGGGGGGTCCTGTCCTACTCAAAGCACCAGCAGCACTAATGCTAAGAAACTGCCACTAGGATTAGGACAGAGACCCATCTTTCCAGGACTTTTCAAGTGCTACTCAAGACACACTCTAAACCCCTAAAATTCAACCAAATACTGTTAATTTAATACCATTATAATCTGAAAATACTGTAATTCTTAATTTGAAAAACTGAAAAAACTTTATAATTGCTACCAGCATCCTAGCCCAGGGACCCTGCACTGGCTGGATTTGTCTGCTGGCCTACACAAGTAACAGGCCAAACAGAAAGAGGAAAAATGAACTTCATGCAGTTTGATCAAACATCCCACAAAAGCAGTCACAGTTTATAGGAGTAAAAAAGCCCAGCGATCTACATATGTCGATTTGGTTAGGCTGTGCTAATCAGAAAGCCAGCCTTCATTCCCTTGGCATCCGTCTGCAGCAAGAGAAAGTTTTTATTCTCAGTGTGAGGAAGTTCTGAAGTTAAAACAATTTGGAGCTTTTTATTTCAAAGGTAGTCTGTTTCATAATCTCTCCTCAAATATGAAAATGAGGAAAAGATTTTACATAAATCGGGAAAACCACCTCATTTCCTAAGAGGTGGGGTTGCTTTCAGGCTAGAGGTGATAAGTGAGCAGACACCCAGGCTCTAAGAATCATCAACACAGCTGGTTCCTGAAAGATCCTAGTAGCTCTGGCTCTGGTCTCCAAGTTCAAAGAGAAAGGAATAAAGAAAGTGGCCAGAAACCCTGCAGCTGCTGGCATGACCATGAGCACTGCTGGCAGTCACTTCCTGTGTAGAGAGACCCTCAGGTCCTCTAGAGAGGCCTGCAGCTGCTGGGTGGCACCTTCTCCCTGGCTGACTTAAGGGGAGGAGGAGATGGAATATCCCTTCCTGGGGGGTGTAGAGATGAAATTCTGTGTGGTGCATTTGATGGTTTTCCTCCTTTTAGTTTTGTATTTAAGAGTCAAGATCACATGCAGCTTCCCAAAAGGCTGTCGATGCTGCCATCTAGTGAGTACTGCCCTCTTTACAACTTAAGAGCTCATGGGGCTATATCCTAAAGAGTTTGGGAAGCCTGAGCACCCTATTTTTAATTTCATTTGAAGTAATGCATCCTGTAGATTGATATGAGAAATAGAGTAATAAAGTTTGCAGTCTATGGATTATTCTACTTAGGAATTAGCAAAACTTCAAAAATGAGCACATTGGGAGTGTACCAGCAAGGTTCATTTCTCCAAAGGACTGAAGCTCTGCTGCCTCCAGCAGTGACTACACAGCCATACTCCCCGTCAGTATGCTGTTGAGGGTCCGCTTGTCCCTGTATGCTGAGAGCTTGTGCTTTTCTTGGGTTAGAAGCCTATATCTGGTCACAATTCCTCATTTGCCTTGGCTTTGAAGGAGCATGGAACTGAATGAGTAACCTCTTCCTGCATGTTTCCAAGCCCTCCCCCAATACCCACTATCTCCATCTTTGTTCCACACCCCTCCGTTGTACTACTTTCCCTCTGTCCTAGTATCTTTGTCTGATTTTAAATGTTTGGTTGTTTTTTTGTCTGTTTGTTTGTTTTAACTGAAACAAGATTGGGTGTACACAAATAAGACATTAATGATATTTGCTGCATAGATGATGCTCATTTGGGGATCTTGATCATGGATATGGATGTAGTTATGCAAGGCAATGGTGATCCCTGTCTCATTTGACTCTGAGGATTTGTCTCTACTTGCGAACTCTCCATTAAAAGGGCTGTTGATGATCTAAACTGGGGCTCAAACCAGTGCTTCCATCAAAGAACTCATTTATAACTGCTGTCGACTCTTCTCCTTCCAATGTGGCCTCCTAAGATGTGGGGCTTAAATTTCTCCTGCTTCTTCAACTGAAGGGATAGTTTCTTTACTCCTCATCCCACAAATCCACTCTCTTTATTTCTGCACTCTGTCACTCCTAGGTAGCTGACCAATGTATTACAATTTACAAAGCATTTTTATATTAATTTTTTTCTATCTCAATATAAAGGCTCGTCTGAAGGCAGAACATAAAACTTATGAGCAACAGACATAAAGAGAACAATACAGAAACCCTGAAGGCTCTCCCTGAAAAACAGGCTGATATGGGCTAGCTTATCTCCACTGCAGTGCACACCAATCTTATCTAAGATGTGAGGCCTACGTCCTGCTCAACTGCTTTCAATCCATGTTTAGATAATGACTCCCAGGGAGAGTTCATCACTGGGACATCTCAGACTTTGCATTGAAGTTTCTTATCTCCAGTAATTAGATATGAGAAAAAAAATACAGACTGCAAAAAAATCACATTCTCATTCCTACACCCAAGAGCCGCCAACACTTGGCTCCGTCCATTTTCTTCAGAACTGCCCCAAAGCATAAAACAAGTGATAGCTTCCTATGAGCAAAGGATAGTGTAGGAAGTGGGTGGGTTGCTGGAGCAGGTACTCTGGGTATTGTGTATGTACATTAAGCAAATAAAAGCAGATCTTATTTTAAAACATGGTGTTTTATAGGTACAGGCTTATACACAGAGTTAGATGGTCAAGGTGACAATGAAAACTGAAAAATTATAGGGAAGAGAAATGATCGAAAAGGCCTAGGAAAATGAGCAACAGTATCATCTAAAGGTCAGGTAATTAGTGTCCGGGGTTGTGAATTTTAAACACACGCCTATGTAACGAGACAGATTATTTTGAGAGTGACGTGGGACATAATGTCCTCTGCGGCTTCTTTGTGTGGAACTGGCCTTCCTTGCAGGGCCCAAGGAAGATGCATTTGAAGAGTAAGACAGGAGACCAGGGTCTCGTGGTTTTTATTCCACGTTCAATTGTCACTTGACGCAACTCCTTTTCTTCTTATCTATGCTCTAGACATAGCCTTGGAGATAAAGTCCAACTCCTCAGTTTTATAAATCAGAAACTAAGCCACGGAGTCAGTGAGAAACCTGGCCTAACGAGTCACCGCTGTTCAGTGAAAATGGTCTGAGACTTACTAAAAGACTTCTTAGCTTGCCTGTTGTTTTTAATAGAATTCAGTCAGCTGACAATGACACCTCTGAAGGCCAAAACCCACCAGCATGCCAGGCCACCTTCCCTTTAGACATGGGGGCTAGAGGCAGGGCTAGCACACACAGTGAAATGGCCACCTGATGATGTTCTAGCCAGAGTCACAAAGCAAAGGAGCACAGGTCACAGAAGACCTTTTAGAGACAAAGAGTAAAAATAACCCCACAAAACCAGCAAATAGGAATACCATTGCTGCCCCCTCCTATGGGTGCTGGGAGGAAGTTAATCATTTTGTAAACAGTGGTCTTATGTATTGGGCCTCTTTCCCTTTGCTTAGCTGTAATTTCCAGGAAAAAAAAATGAGAAAAACTACAAATCTGCCTGTGGGTCTAGACCATGAAAGCAAGTCCCAAAGATACCCAGTTCACACATACTGCAAGCCAGAAATACTGTCTCAACTTACACTCCCAGCTTTCCGAGGCTAGCCATTCCGTCTGCAATAGACAATCCCTCTCTTATCTGCCAGGATTTCTGAATGATTCTTAAGACCAGGAAAGCTGCTGATGGTTCCACCCATCTCTCCAGGGGCTTGGACATCACTTCACATACCTAAGCAGGTAACTATGATTCATCAAACCAGCTGCTACATTAAATCAACAGTGGACACTGCTGTGTCTTCTTGGGGGACAGAAGTGTTTAAATTCCATTAAAAATTAAAATTAAAACTCAGAGCTAAACCAACATTTCATTTCATTTTGTTGTACACCATCATCACTTCTATCAGAGCCATCTCCAACCCTTAGAACTAATTTTCCTCACTCTATTCATCAATTGCTAAAAGGCTTAAAGAATTTTGATAAATATAAAGTATTTAACAACATTAAAACACATTCATTTCTTTGACTTCATTATTCCTATGAATATATCCCAAGGAACAAATTAGTATGACCTGAAAATTTTATTGCAATAATATCTAAAGTAGTAAAGAAATAGACACAAGGTACATTTTTAATATTAGAAAGATGGTTCATAGATTATGGTACCTTAATTTGGTTGAATACAACTTATTATAAAGTATTCATGAATGAGCAGAAAACAAATAAATATAAAAGACCTGCTAACCAGTGGTCTGATGAAAATTAATTTTGCCATAGTTCCAAACTAAGATACTAAATAAGATACTTTTCCTTTAAAGTTAACTTTACTGAAATTTAGAAGCTTTCTTAAATTTTAATGAAGTTCACTAAATAAACAAGAAGCACTAATTGATTAAAAGGCAGAATATGTTGGAAGGATCAATGTCTACCAAATCTATTTTAAATGGACTGAGGCAGCCAGCAATTAAGTTTAAGTAATCTCTGAAGAATTTACAAATTCATTCAACTTGTAATTCATAAACTTATTAAATGCTTTCTAAATAGTACCGTGACATCATAATAACACCACAATAAGTATCATTTTAATAACATGGTGAATTTTACTAGTCAAAGCCAACTGCTATTTGTGACCTCAATCTCTCTCTCCACCTTCACCAGCTTTCTGAGGGGTTAAGGGCATAGAGTTCCTCCCGTTGGGTTCTCAGAACATGAGGATTTTCAATACTCTTATAAGGGCTCAAGTTCCAATGGGTAGCTGGGCAAGGGATAGAGGCGGCAGCCAGCAGTGACCCTGAAAGCCAACAAGAGGCGTGAGTACAGGCCCGGGTGTTATTTCCCATGCTTCCATCCAAGAGAATGCTGCACTGACAATGGGCATGAATGCATCTATTATGCATATCGCCACTGCCTTATCCCACTCAGAGTCTTAACACTGGCTTAGTTCACCTCCCTTGGATACAATCTGGACCATCAACTGGGGTGGAGGCTCTTAAGTAACTTTACGAGCTGGCTTCATCTAGGTGGCTTCTCAGGTGTGGTTCTTCAGCCACTCCCTAATAACTGACAGTCTTTGTGAACAAATTCTCGATTTTGTTTATCCCGTTGGCTTGATGAAAGACAGACTGGCCCAATGGGCCTAGGTGATGACTACACTGTCCCTTAAGTCAAGACTTCAACTGCCTCGACAGGTCCCACGTGCAAATGCCCTAGAGTTAACCATCTTCATCTCACATGTCTAAAACTGCTGGCAGTTTAGACATACCATATTGAAGTTTTGCTTTTTCTTTTAGGCCTTAGAATACAAAAATATTGATAAAAGACTAAAGTAAAGAATTAGTGAATACTTTACTGGAATGTGATTACATCAAATGAAGTCAATATTATTATAATCCTTCTTTCTCCTCAAATATTCCAAGGTATTGTACAAATTACACACAGAGATTATCAAAAGAAAAAAGCCAAACGTTACAATACAGGCAACCGGGCAAGGGTACCAGGAACATGAGAAATTATGGCTAAGGCTTCCAAGAGTTCAACCCAAGTTCAACATTTCCATTCCACTGTCTTCCCTTGCTTACAATCCTTGCCACTCCAGCATAATATTACCTCCCAAACAAGGAAAGGAAGCAACTATGATTCTTATAGCTCTGGAAGCAAATTTTTCTAGAACTACGCCTCTGAGCTGAGTAAATACCATCCCTGGACCAGGGTGAGGCATGTGTGCAAGTATGTGCAGCTGATCCCGGGACTGTGTGGAAGCAAGAATCTGCACAAGAACCAACAAGCCCACAGGAGAGGTACCAAGGGAACCTGTGTTTAGCAGGCATAACCATCTGTTTTCAAGTGGATTAGGACATGCCACAGCTAACCTTACTGCCACTCTGAATGACCCAAGAGCACACAAAGGAATTCAGGAAGGTGAAAGGGAATGTCATTGTACAGGTGATCAGTCCAAGGTAGTGTTTTAAAAAATGACACACGAGACACACAGAAATTAGACTCGGAGTGCCCACCCAAGGTTTTCTTTGGTCATAACGACATTTAAAAATGTGAGTAGCCAACTCAGTAGCCAGTTTTCTTTATCTCATTCAGATCCTCTAGAGCACGAACTCCCTCAAGGCAGGAACTTTGTATCCTTCAGTGTCTCTGGGTCCCTGCCCCCTCTATTTCCACAGAAGTAAGAAGCTAGTATACAGCCGGTCCTCAACATGTATTTGTTGAGTAGATGAATATGCTTTAGAAACTTGCTAATCCTAGTCCTTGTTAGCTGCAGTTGTCATACAAAAGCTATGGGTTATACACCTTTGAAATGTTTAAAAATTTATACGTTAGTTGGGGATGTAGCTCAGTGGTAGAGCACTTGCCTAGCATGTACAAGGCCTTGGGTTCAATCCCCAACACCACTGCCAAAAAAAAGTTAAAAAAAAAAATAGTTTTGAAAAAAGGGCATTAAAAATTCATATATTATATATTTAAAATCTTAGATACCAATGTTAATTTTATACAATTGGCTGAATGGGAAAACCCAGAATTTAGAGTGTGACAGAGCTTGTTTGGCCACCACCTACTCTAATGAGAAGGGAGTCAGAGCACAGGGCCCCGCGACAGCACAGATCCGACACTGCCCTCAAATGCCATCTGGCACACGGAGACCAGTCAGCCCATCACGGTTTCTCTCTCCCACGCTGCTCACTGCCCAAACAATAAATCATTCTCACGAGGTACTCCTTTACTTGCAAACCACATTTGCAGAGTATTCTAGGCACTGTGGCTCTTTTGACTAAGTTGTTCCTTTCCCATATTCCAAAGCACTGGGGCAGAGAGTGGGCCAGTGAAGATGCTCCCCCTCTATCCCCTTCTTTTCCTCACTCTTCAACTTCACTACCTTAGATCGTCCTGTTCACTTCTTGGGGTAAATATGATTATGCTGCCTACTTTTTTTTTTTTAACTCAGAATTTTATCATAGCATGCCATTCAAGTTATTCATTATTTAGGTTCTCCTTGCCTCTTCAGCTACACAGAAGAGTCCACACGACACAATATGTATATATTCTTCATATTTTCTTCCTGTTTAATATTCTCTTACCATTCTGAGCCTTTGTCCATGATCACTCATTCTTTTAAGATGAATACCGTCTCTTCCTCCTCCAGGAAGCCCTCCAAAAAATGACCTCCTCCAGTGCCCCATATTTTGGATGCCTCTTCCCTATGTCATAGCAAGCTGTGCACAACTTCAAAGAGCTTCACATTTTGTTGAGGTTTTGTTTTTATTGTTGTGGTTGTCAGTTTTGGTTCTTTCCTCAGTTAATCCATCTTTCCTTTAGGGAGTGGGGTTATCTATTCTAGCACTGGACCATCGAGCACATCACAATTACCTCTGAAATGCTTGATGCACGCATGAATAACTAAGAGCTAGAGTTTATCTGTATATATAATCCGATGACTTCCAATATTTTACGGAAAATGGCATTCTTCAATTCTTCTCTTTCAACACTTGGAAATTAGTGAGCTTCCCTCATAAGAAAAGTCTACAGAATCACTGTTAGGGAAAATTGAGAAGTGACTCACAAATAGGAAGAGCTAAGCCTCCAGTAACATAATTTTTAAACACACATCTTTGACAACACATTTTACTCATACGCATGTAGTACATTCCCTAAGACATTTAGGACACACTCGTACAGCAGAATATTTTTTGGATGAAATCTGTTTCAGTTTCTTTAGCAAATGGACCTATACACTCCAGCTATAATACCCTGAAATTCTCACTCAACTACTTGGAGTCCCATTCTCTGGTATCTGCCCTTTTTACAAGTACTAATGCTCCAAGACCAGAATCAACTGTCACCTCCAAAGGAGGCATGCGGCTGGCTCCTGCAGTTTTCTCCAGCTCTCCACCTTCATGTCACCACAGCAGCACAGACATCATGCATGGGACACCAAGCAGAGGCTCGTCAACTGCCACAGCAAGGACAGCTCTTTCTACCCCTTAGTACTCAGAGAAAAGCTAGAAACAACAATATCCAACATCAGGGGACAGCTTGGAAAGAAACCTTATATCAATTTAACAGAAGACTGCATTCTTGGTAAAAATGACCTTTATGTGATTTCTGCCCATTTATGAAAATATTTAGATAAAACAAGGCTACATGGAAAAAATTAAACAGTATAAACAAAGAATTTCTGGGTACACATTTATAAGGCAGTTTGGAGTTATGAAGATCAACTTGACATTAATCAAGTATTTAGTTAACATTCACAATATCATGTGACACACATTTTAAATGCTCCTACATTTAATACAGAGCCAGAGTACTCTGTCTCACAAATCAAAAACATCTCTGATGGTTCTGGGCATGGTGACACGCACCTATAATCTCAGAGAATTGAGAGGCTGAGGCAAATTTAAGGCCAGACTCAGGAATTTAGTGAGAGAGACCATATCTCAAAAATAATAAAGAGACTGGGGGTGTAGCTTAGTGGTAAAGCACCCTTGGGTTCAATTCCCAGTCCAAAACAAAACCATCCCCCCAAAACCCTAATGTCCCTGCTGACCAGATGCTCCCACCCACTTCTGTGGTGCACTGTTTTAAATCCAAACTCTTAAAAACAGAAGAAGACTTACTTGACATCCTATATCTGCTTTGAAATGGGCCCCATCTGAAACCACAAGCAAGTCCTATGAAGTCTACCCTCAGCGCCAAGCTCTGCACCCCAGATTTTGTTAGGAGCAATGGATTCAGTGAGTGAGTACAAATAAAAAGGAAAGGATGAGAACGAAAGCAGGGATGTGGGGAAAACAGCTTCTGTCCTTCCATCCTCCAGCATTGCTGAGGTCCTTCTCCTCATAGCACCTGCACTAGTGGGAAAGGCAGAATTCTACCTCCTTCCCCCATGAACCCCTGAATTTCTCATTGTGCTGGGTCAAGAGATTAAGATGTTCTAAAACAATGAAACTAATGACGAGAGGCATCTCCCATTTCACAATGTATTTGACTTCAGCGTGTCCCCACCCCCGGCATCTTTTTAAGAGTCTATAAATGGCACATGTCCAATTAAAGCAGGTTTTTCTTTGTTGTCACTTTCTTAGTCTGATTTAAGACACCAGGTGGTAATAAGACACTTCCTAACACCAAAAAAAAAAAAAAAAAAAAAAAGCTCAGGCTAGGACTAATTGCTCCTTACCAACACAGCTGTTTCTTCACAACTTGTGAGTACATCGACAAGAACTTTACATGAAAAATAAATTTTAAGTAGGTGGGAGTATTACCAACTTCAGAGGCATAATAGTAAATACAAAGCACGGACAATTAGTTTTCCATCTCATATTTCTAAGGGTAACTAACATGAAATTCACAAGAAGCTTTTACATTCAAACCCATTAGTCAAAAAGTTTCTTTTAGTGTTTAAGTCATTTGTGGTTGTTGTGTTTGTGATCTCCACTCTGTCCCTTCTGAACCTAAGAGGGAAACTTTCAGAAACTTTCAGACTCTACTAGCAGAATAATTCTTTTAAGTCCCCAATCATCTATCAGAGCAAAGTCTTCTTATATCTTAAGGCCAACACCTATGACCCCACTTTTGCAGAACCTGCAACACAGGTTTTTAATTATATGCCAGGTGACAATCTACCCTCCTCCTTTGTTCAAAACCTTCTTCCAAAAAAGTCTTCTATCATGAGCCCCTCACAAAGGCCCACACATTAGAAATTTAGGAAAGACAAATGGAAAGTGGAGCTCGAGTAGGGCTTTTTATTTATCCCAGGAAAGTTCCCAAATAGCCCATTTTGCTGGCTTCCCACATCCCAACT